TGATTGACTACAACTGCTCCAAGTGCAGCGGGGTTTCCGTAGCTTAGCGCTTGGGGAAGCGTAATTTAGGTCGCCGACCTTTCGTGTATTACAAGAACCAATCCGAGTGTAGCGGGTCGCAATCCGCTACCTCTAAGAGTAGTTAGTGCCTTAACCAAGGCTAATAAATTTTTCGGTTTAAATGCAAAACTGATTTTTTTTATTTTTATCTGCAGCAAAGCCGCCTAATTTTAAATGTTTAGATTTTCCTAAATATATGCAGTAAAATCTAAATACATGCATAACTGACCAGGGTACGTGTAATTCCGTTCCATGTTGGATCATGTGACTAGACATTTATAAAGCCACCACATGTTATCGAAGTAATTATTATATAGCCTTTCATCATCGGTATTTTTAATCGGGCATTTAATCGCGAAACAAATCGGCGTATGTGCTTGGGTAGCTGAGCGATTGTATTTGCTGAGCGCATGAGCGATTGTATTTGCTGAGCGCATGAGCGATGCACAGTCTTTAAAAAGCTCTGTACGCAAATGTGTGGTGATCTTCGTTTCAAATTATCGAAAATCTCACCCGTACCGAGTACTGATGACGATACTTCAACATGCGACGTCCCCGTGGTTATTCTGAGGGTCGTTCCGAGTCCGATGGACACTAGCGTAACGTGCACGAACGCCATCACACTGTCTTTGATGATATGTAGCTAACGTGCTTCCGGGTTAGAATATGTTTCATCAAGGCTTTAAAAATGATGACGTTGCCGCGCTCAGGATCTTACGAATCTGTAGCTTCAACAAGCCAAAAGCCAGCCAATAATTAGGCAAGTACACAGAAGTGCCTTGATCCCAAAAGACGTCTAATTATCGTACTATGCCATGACCAGCGTCACCGAGACTATGTAGTCTCGATCACTCGATTTTGACGGATTTTTCTTAAGGATCGGAATTTCTTGCGAGAATGTGGCAGCAGCTTGATCAACACTTTCAAGCCTTTTTACAACTTCATAAAACTTTCTTGTATTGCGAGCAATCGTCTTTAGCTCGTTACATCCTTGAGAATCCAATAGCCCATGTCCGTATTTACAGCCGATCTCTTCTACTTCAGCGACCTCGGATCTTAAGACTGTCGCACAAAAAAGGCTTACCATATTGCCCTTGTCCGATCACCAAGCATGGTTGCACTATAAAGCATGCTTGCCACTACCATAGGAAAAGAGCTAATTGGCGTTATTATAGTGGAGCCTTGTGCTACTAGTAACCTTCTGTATATTTTTTTTCGAGCCCGCTACTAGCTTACCTATAAAGCACGATCTATTTTTGCATTCATTAGCGTCCAAGAGGTGTGCGGCGGCTTGATGCCTGTACCTTTTGTTTAGGTTGAGAATATTCTCTAGAAATACCATCACCATATGCGTGAATTTATAATTTCGGGTAACACTGCGACGCACGTACTTCTGTTGAACAAAATAGGTAGCCCCATACGCTACCCCTGCGCAAAAGTGCTGCAAATGTCAGAAAGGAAGGAAGGACCTGGTGGTTTGAAGGTAAGTTTCCAAGTAAAGGTATTATGCTTATAGCTAGCTAATTATGCAAATCGTTGGGAGTTTTATAACTCCTCCT